TATAACTATATATATATATATACATCGCTACATACTTACTCATGTCTTGGCTTGCTTACTTTGGTGCTTCCCACCTCGCCCTTCCGAGTTCGGTCCACACGCTCATAGATGTGCGACAGGAACTCCACCTCATATGCCTCAGAGTCGACATTCAAGGACGCTGTGGGGGTTCAAGGTTAAGGAATTAAGGCTTGCAGCTGCCGACAAAAATGCTGGGTCTAAAGATAGGGTTGTATAATGGGATAACAGGGCTATATAGGGTTGTAAAATAGGGCTTATAGGGTCTGCAGGCGCTGCTTGGGGGTTGGGCTTTTCAAACTCAACCCTGAATCATAAACCCAAACCCCAGACCTTTAACCGCAGAATGCCAGTGTTCAGCCCAGCATCACCAGAACCAAATCCAAATGAACAATAATCATTGAGTTTGCCGAACCCTAAAACCCTAAAAAAACTAAGAAACAGTTATCAGCAATCCGTACACCCCTCCATCCGCCATATCGAAACTCTATTAGCACACTCGTTTGGCACTCGTAAGACCTTCTGACAAAACCGCTTTCACAACCTGCCGGGCCTGGAAAGAGTGGATCCCATCCACCATCTTCAGGAAGATGTCACAGGAGATCGTTGCCTGATTTAAGGTTTTTGGGGCTTTAGGGTTCTGGGGTGTAGGGTTTAGGGTTTTAGGGTTTTGGGGTGTAGGGTTTAGGGTTTAGGGTTTAGGGTTTTGGGGTGTAGAGTTTAGGGTTTAGGGCTTTAGAGCTTTAGGGATTTAGGGCTTCAGGGCTTTAGGGTTTTGGGGAGTAGGGTTTAGGGTTGTAGGGTTTAGGGTTTTAGGGTTTAGGGCTTTAGGGTTTGGGGGTGTAGGGTTTAGGGCTTTAGGGTTTAGGGCTTTAGGGTTTTGGGGTGTAGGGTTTAGGGTTTTAGGGTTTACGGCTTTAGGGTTTTGGGGTGCAGGGTTTAGGGCTTGAGGGTTTTAGGGTTTCGGGGTGTAGGATTTAGGGCTTCGGGCTTTAATGTTTTCGGGGTGTAGGTTTTAGGGTATTTTAGGCTTCAGGGTGTAGGATTTAGGGTTTTGGGGTGTAAGGTTAGGCTTTTAGGGTCTTCGGGTTCCGGGTGGAGGGGCTTACTGAAATTTTGCTGAGAGCCCATCTTATATATTTCAGGAATCTGCCTTAACTTACAAGGGACTGAATGTTATTTTGGGCTGTGTTATAAGAGAATTTAAACGGGTGTATGAGGGGTCCAATACAGCGGCCTCTTAATAATTAGACTTGGGTTTTGGTGTTTATTGTAGCCTAATGAGGACTATAACTTGATCTTCTTACTAAATGCTCCAACCCTATATAACATGGCTTCATTTATCTGGGAATTGCTTGGATGTTCTGGAGTGCGGAGTCGCGTGTGTATTCGAAGACTTTCGAGCACCAAAGAGGTCGAAGAAATACAGGGGGCCTCGAGAGGCTTTAGGGTTTAGGGTGTAGGGAGATGTACTAAGGAACCCTAAGGAATAGTGTTCGTAACAAATCGGACTTCTACATTAATTGGAAGGTGATCTCATTGGTATAGATAGTTGTCGCATGTAGTCTTCAAGAGTACCAGGATTTAATTTAAAAAAGCTTCCTCGCAGGAGCTAAAAACCCTAAACCCTAATCCCTAAACCCTAAACCCTAAACCCTAAACCCTAAAGCCTTAAACCCTGAATGGACAAGTCGCGAGACGGACGCTCGAAGAGTGTCGGGTAGAGGGTTTCGAGACGGACGGAAAAGATCAAGACCACTAGGAGTTCAGGGTTTAGGGTTCAGGTTCAAGGTCTCTTGTGTTCCAGGTCTTCATGATACAACGGTGGGTTCTTCTTGGAGTTATGTAATTTCAAGCAATATCCCGTCTGAAGTCCGTAGTTAAGGTCTCTACAACCCTACACTCCCACCCCCCTTTCCTAAGCCAAGTCCTGTCCATGAACCCAATACACAAGCCCTCAACCGGAAAACGAATCTATCTATATTATCTGTATCTATCCATCTGTAAGTTGTAAATATCTATAACTATGTATATCTACCCATCTTTCTTTCTTTCTAGCTACCTACCTATCTATCTCCCTGTCTGTCCGTCTGTCTGTCTGTCTGTCTGTCCGTCCGTCCGTCTGTCTGTCTGTCTCTCTGTCTGTCTATCGATGTGTCTGTCCAAAGGCGTTGCAGTCTAGAATGTCTATGTTCTACGTAGACGCTCTTATATGTAACTTTCTCCTTAGCAGGCTAAAACTGAACCCCAACCCCTAAATTCCAAGCCACAAATCCCAGAAAATCCTGATTTCTGACTTCCACCAGCCTCCGCGAGCTGTGCACGGCGCTGAGCCCATTGCTGCAGGCTTATCCAAAGAGACTCACAGAACCTGGGCTGGGGGCATAGGACTGGTCTGGGGTTTGAGGTTTAGGGGTTTGGGGCTTATGGAGCTTAGGTTTTCCGCATCAAAACCTCTTCACGGCGTTAAGGGGCTTCGAAAGAATCCAAAAGTACCACCTGGACGGAGACCTGATGGAAGAAAACTTCAACTTCAACCAAGGTTTCAAGAGAGAACAACCAATCTTCGCAGCCACCCGAGTTTGAGGGTTTAGGGGTGAGTGCAGTGAGAAATCTTCAAACTCAGAGATTTCAGCGAGCGCTTCTAGACAAACAGTTCTTGCCGACAGTAGCCTTGAGGTTAAGGGTTCCCGGAGAGCCCTAAATTCCTCAATCAAGGAGTCTGAAACCATAATCATTATATGAAGCCCCCTACTCTCCGCATTTGACGAAGCTTAGGATTAGGAAGGTTGAAAAAAGAGTCCAGGAACAAAGCGGCTGGGTCCAGGTGGGCCAAAGTGTACATGCTTGCCTGGCCTGCAAGTAGGTTGACTGATTCATGCCTCATGGGTTCAGAGTTCAGCGATTTGCAAGCCCCATGTCAGAGTCGCAGCAGCAGTAACCGTAGTAAATAAATGATATCTGCGACACCCTAAACCCTAAACCCTAAACCCTAAACACTAAACCCTAAACACTAAACCCTAAACCCTAAACCCCAAACCCTAAACACTAAACCCTAAACCCTGAACCCTAAACCGGTGCGAACTGAGCCTTGGCTTTGCAGGGGCCTCCCGGCTCCTGAACTGTAGACCGCGAGCAGCAGTGCAACTGAAATGCCCTGATCCCTAAACCCTAAACCCTACAATGATCCTGGCTATGGACTTCACTGGTCTTCCCTAACCCCCCCACATACCTACTAGACAGGACCCTAGGGGCTCTAGTACCCTATATAGTAGGTACCTGGGGGGTTAGGGCTTCCTATCCTTTCTATGATTTCGCCGACCTGGCGCCTGTTTGGCCCAATATAGGGGCCTTAATAATTAGAATAGGGTTTGGGGTATATTATACTTCGAAATTATAATAAGGAACCCCCCAAAACCCTGTTCTAATAATTAAGGCCCCTACATCACTCAGTTTTTAACTAGGAGCCGGGGCGTCAGCTTCTGTTGGAAGCGGTTGACGGCTCGCCGCCGGGAGTCTTCGCCCGTGTAGAGGGCGAGGTTCCTGAGCTTGGATATGTGTGGGTGTGCGTATAGGTATATGCACGGTTTAGGATTTAGGGTTTAGGGTTTAGGATGTACAGATGCATGTATAGATGGACGGACGGACGGACGGACGGACGGACGGACGGATGGATGGATGGATGGATGATAAACACATAAACAGACACAAATAGATACTGGAGATGGAGCGGCAGATGGGGAAAGCCGTCATAGAAATGTCCAAGTCGCTTGATGAAGTTGTCAATGTGACTGGCACACGCAAGGAGATTCTGCCTGACATGCCAAAGCTTGGGGCTTCAGCGTTTCAGGGGCTTAGGGTTACTTGGATACAGGCTGATCTTAATCGTAACGATCTTTCGAACTATATAATTCGGAAGTTTCCCATCCACCGGCCACATAGCCGCAGGTTGACTGGTTCCGTTGAAGGCAACGTAGGGGCCTAACAGGGTTTGGGGGGTATAGTACAATTCTAACTATTCGGCAACCCAGAGTACAATGTTACAAATTCTTCAGACCCTATATTACCATGTGCACTTCAGTTGACCATCTTAATACGGACGAATAGTGGACCAGATTATGTAACAAAAACCAAGTGGCTTGTGCGATCGCATCCGCCCGCGCGTGCGGTCCAGCTGTGCCACGATGCAAGCATCCTGCACCGTGCTTTTTGCGTTTGCACAGGGTTCTAAACCTACCGCGAGGGTCCATGTACCAAAATAGTATATACATTGGCCCCAAAGTACTTATATAGGGACTACTTTAAGGCCAAAGTATATCTATTTGGTACTAGGGGGGCTCTACAAAATTTGGGCTCTCTACGGGGGCTCCTACAGGGTTCAGAGCCTGAAAATCCGATATCCCCAACTCCCCTAAGGTTTAGGGTTTGGGATCCTAAACCCTAATAAATCCTGTTCCCAACTCATCAGTGGATGTCCTGAAAATCCTGCAGCGAGAGCGCCCGCATGTCCCAGTCACGCAACTTCTGGTCGAAGAGGCTCCTTGGGATTTCGGGCTTAGGCGTTTAGGCGCTTCAGGCCTTCGGGTTTTGGGTTGAGGGTCTAGGGGTTAGGGTTTAGAGGGTTAGAGGGTTTAGGGTTCAGGGTTTTGGGGTTCGGGTGTAGAGGGGTGTAGGATTTAGGGTTTGAGGGTTGACGGTTTTAATTTGGGTTTTGGGTTGCGGTGATCCTTCGGCTCTAGACAGAAACCTAAACCCTAAACCAACATAAGCCTTGAAGTCTGAGCTTAGAGCATCTTCCTTCAATCATACCCTTTAACCCGCCAAGTACCTACTATACAGGTCCCGACGGGTGCCAGTACCCTGTCGAGTAGGTACCTGGAAGTTAGGGATAAGGGTCAGGTTACGTCCCATAGAATCTTAGAAGCCAAGTCATCTTGCGGAACTAACCCTAAACCCTAAACCCGAAACCCTAGCCCCTAAACCCTGAACCCTAAACCCTTTTGAGCTGAGGGGTTATTGTGCTACTGGACTTCCCTATAAGCCCTAATTAGCCGACGCCGACGCCCCTGAACCCTGAAACCAAAACCCCCAATACAAAACCTCTGGCCATTATACTATAATTATGATAAGGAACCCCCAAAGATAGTATAGGTAATTATTCAGGCCCCTACATTACAGGAGCCTCATGCCGCAGAGGGAACTGAGCTCTGGCTCTGAATCTAACGCTCGCCACATGATTAGGGTTTAGGGGTTTATGGGTTTAGGGTTTAGGGGTTTAGGGTTTAGGGGTTTAGGGTTTAGGGTTTAGGGTTTAGGGGTTTAGGGTTTGGGGTTTAGGGTTTAGGGTTTAGGGTTCATGAAACTTGTGCTTCCGCTCACGACTGGACTCGACCCTCTTCGCCACACAGCATGCCCTAACCCCCTACGTACCTACTATATAGGGTACTAGAGCCCCTAGGGCCCTATACAGTAGGTACCTGGGGGTTAGAGATGCGCATTACAGGATTGTCAGGCCGTTATAAAGCCTAAACTCTAAGATTCCCTTCCAAGCGTCCGGGCTGTGCTGAGAGACAGCGTGAAGCCCAGCTCCTCGCATAGCTCCTGAAACTGCTCCAACGACATCATACCTGGGCCAGGGGCGCAAACCCTAAACCCTAAATCCTACACCCTATAAACCGTAAACCCTACACCCAAAACCCAAAACCCTGAACCCTGAACCCTAAACCCGAAACCCTAAACCCTAAGCCCTATCAGCCCTACCTGGGCCCCAAGTGACCTGCCTTACTTTAAGGATCCTTGCCACGATTGCCGTATATAAGTCCTGAAAATTCTTTAACCCTAAGAGTCCATGTACTTCTTTAGGGTTCCTTTAAGGGTTCCTTTAAAGGGATCTATAAGGGTTCTAGAGGGTTTAGGGTTTAAGGGTCCATGTACTCCTCACATAGTATATACATTGGCCCCAAGGTACCGATGTAGGGACTACTTTAAGGGCCAAAGTATCTACTATTTCGGTACATGGACCCTTAGGGTAAGGTCCAGGTCAGCCCTATAAGCCCTGCAAGCCCTCACTTATGAGTTTAATGTAGGGGCCTTAATAATTAGAATCGGGTGCTGGGGTATATCATACTATAGTTAGACTAAGGAAACCCCCACAACAGTATTGGTAGTAATTAAGGCCCCTTTATTAGTCTTGGGGTCTTGTTGTTTCGAACTGAGGGTCAGTTTTGGGCACAGGACTCTCTAGGATTTCAACCGCTGGAGCTTCAGTAGCGTAGTTCTTTAAATTACGGTCCCTTTTTTGGGTCCCATAAATATAGTACGGCACCCTTATAAAAGGACCCTAAAAAGGGACCCTAATTTAGAGAACTACCCAGTAGCCCTGAGCCACCTCGGGTTCGTTCCTCCGACTGCAGGACTTTGGTTTAGGGCCTCGAGTTCGCTAACCCCTAAACCCTAAAGTAGGGGCCTTACTACTTAGAGTAGGGTCTTGACGCCTCTTTATGTGTAGTTGTAATATAACATACCCCGAACCCTATTCTAAGTATTAAGGCCTATATACTAAACGTTTAGGTTTAGGGTTTAGGGCTTGGGGACTTTCGCCCTAAACCCTATAAACCCTATGAGCCCTAAACCCTAAACTAACCCCAAACCACTAAACCCCTAAACCCTAAATCAAACGTTTAGGTTTAGGGTTTAGGGCTCTGGGACTTTCGGAGAGGAGCTTCCAGGCCCTAAAGTATGAGGTTTAGGGTTTAGGGTTTAGGGTTTAGGGTTTGGAACTGGCCCGCGCTGTGCGGCGATAGCAACCGCCGCACGAATCATCGTTCTCACGACAACAACGGTTTAGGGTTTAGGGTTCAGCGTTCAGGGTTCAGGGTTTAGGGTTTAGGGTTTAGGGTTCAGGTAACTACTACAAAGGGGCCCTAGGGGCTCTAGTACCNNCGGGGGGGGGGGGGGGGGTAGGGTCAGGCATTTGTTTGAGGTTAACGCATTGATGTATGCCCTACCCAACTCAACAACAACATTAGCCCTACCCTAAAGAAAAAACCCTTAAACCCCTAACCCTCAAAACTCTAAGCCCTAAATCCCTAAATCCAAACCTTAAAGCCCTAACCCCCAAAACTCTAAGCCCTAAACCCCTAAATCCAACCCTTAAACCCCTAACCCCCAAAACTCTAAGCCGTAAAGCCCTAAATCCAAGCGCAGGCACAGTCCGACGTGCTGGCGAAGGCCAGGAAGGCTCCATCCGTGCTCTCGTACCGCTGCACCGCCGCGGCCTTCATGGCCTCCCAGAACTGCCTCCAAGGCTGCTACTACCATATGGGTAGTTGTCTAGAATAGGGTCCCTTTCAGGTCCCCAATATAGTACAGCACCCTTATAAAAAGGACCCTAAACGGGACCCTAATTTAGAGAACTACCCTTAGTTACTGCAAATTGTATAAAATATATGGCATATGATATCTTACGTACACTTGTGTATGTGTATATATCTATATCTATATCTATATCTATATATATATATGTATACATACGGTATGTTTCATAATTGGTATGCTATATATATATATATATATGATCTATTTTGTACTACATAGTGATCATTCTATATTCGATGCTTGCCATATTACATATATACACGCATTTCAGATATGATACATCGCGTATTGAACAGTTAAGGCCGGCTTCAGGGTTCAAGATCTGGGATATAAGAGTTGAGGATTCTGGGGCGTAGGGCTATACGTAAGAACTTTCCAGTAACCACAAAGACCTATCAACTCTAAATCAGTAACCCTTCTTTGGTACTACGCGAACCCTTATCTTAAAGTACAGCCCTCATAGGAACGACTTCAAACAACCTTTATTCTAGTAGAACCCCTAAACCCTAAACCC